GTATTAAAAATAATCAAAAACGTTACACCACAACAACGACAGTGGCCGGTGTAGTCATAGTAATCCCTCTCAACTCTAACCAGCACCATCAGCATGGGAACATTGATCCCCGAGTTATCTACCAGACAAAGTCTGCCCTCCTGCTGGGTGGCATACATGTGTGAGCGAGAGAGAAGGGGCTAGCCAGGAATGAGGTGAGCGGAGTTATCTGGGTGTGCCAGGACATGGCTGGCTGCAGACATCAAAAACGCCAGAAACGACCACGGTGGTCTCCCCCCCCTCCCCTACAGTGTTCTGCAAATACCTCACCGTGAGCGTGGCCCTAATACTCCATCTGACAAAAGGGGACAGGCCATTGTAGGCTACCTTAGTTTTACAGTCAGAATTTCTACTGAGCAGAAGGCAGGCATAGGTAATCTTCGTTTAGCGTGCGCACAACGGGGGAGGGGGACTAAGGGTGAAAAGTCGGCGGAGGGCCTTTTAAGTCTCTAAGACGGCAGAAAAACGGACTAACTCGGCGTTAAATGAACGAATAGTTCGATCCGTAGCGGACTGTCAATCATCTGGGCGGATATTTCTGTTTTTGCAACCTTCTCGGCGGACTCAGCAATCAGCAAAGGAGTATCTGGCCGCATCCTTCGCACTTCGGTGAGGATCCCAGTGACCTCTGCGACGTCCCCCCCCTTCCCCCGCGTTAGACCCTCCCCCAAGAGCAACAGTTTTTTCTCCTAAAAAATCCCAAGGAGTTCTTTTCACTGCCCGTTCTTTTCTAACTATGCTCCACCTCATTGGATCATGTCAATTGGCCTAGCCAAAAAACTCGGATACTTTAAATTTAAAGATAGCAATAAAAGCAAGATTTATTGGATCCATGGCATTTCGAGAGAGCTCTTCAGTTGCTATTTTTTGATTACATAACACACATGTAAAAATAGGGAACTCAAAGGTAGCCCACTTACATCTTAAAATATACTGATACTGAATCCCGCCGATTCACAGAATAGGAAACGAGCACAAATGGGCATTATTTATTAGAAAGCACATCAATTAGGACCGAATTTACAATGATGGAGAGCGGACTTTGGGCAGCGTAACTGAAATATACAAACTTTAGGCCAGTGGCATGCCAAACGGCATAAAATCTTCGGCAAGAATCGAAAGAGCTCTGTACCGACACGTCCTGTGTACGCAGCGCTTAAACTTGCAACTCTCTCTCTCTCAGAAGAAACTCCAAATCGGTAGAGGAACTCGGAATTCTCGCTTGCGGTGGCAACAACTAAAACCTAAAAGGGTAAGAAGGGTGAGCGCGGGAAGGTGCTCACCCGAATGGAAACAGCGTGAGGGAGGAGGGGGAAGGGCGGGGAGGGCAAGGACGCCGGAAATTGTACAAGGTTAGTAGATGGAAGGGTGTGATGATGAAGGAGGAGGAAAATCGTAAGTTTTTGAAAGAGATTGTACAAAAGTAGGGAAGAAATCTGACAAGACTCTCTCCCCCGAAGACAGCGGGGACAGAGGCCACCGAAATAATCTAGGGTTTATCGAGACCGGAACGCCGTTCTGCCCAGTCTGCAACCGGCGTCCGAATTTTCTCGTAACGTCGAGCGGAGGTCCGATTAAAGACAGGGAGCAGTTCATCCGCCTCAAAATCCCTCCGCATGAGGAAGACGAATGCGTCAGCGCCGTAACCCTCCATACCAGCCACCGTCAGGTCCCCGTGGAGATAGCGGGCATACAGACGGCTAAGCGGCAAGCCGTAACCGTAGCCGGCCAAAGGTGCGTTACCAGTCTGCCCGATATCAATCGGTGCACCCTTTGAACCGTGACCAGTTGTGAAGGTGTACCGGAAGAGAAGATCTGCGACAGAGCGTGGAAAACCACCGCCCTTGTCAGATATCTGAAGGCACGAAGGGACGACAGATTAGTGTGGGGCGACAAAAATATCGATTTTTTTTACGGCAGAACATACCGCAGTGAAAAGTTCGACTACACATAAAACCCGGGCAAACAAGAAGAATGATGTAGTAATGGACGGTGCTAGCCGGCCAAAAGCAGAGTTTACTGGACCTAGTTGGCTTCGACGAGTATCCGCGCTTATTGCGGTTATAAAAAAGGAGCGGTCAATTCTGAAATAAAAGACACCATCAGGCAGCCAACAATTATTCGGCATTTTCGATCCGAACAAACCCGCTGTGTAAACAGTCCAGCCACCTGTAATAATACGGGCTTGTGCAACAGAAAACTAATACCACCTACGGTCGGGCCTGTGACTACGCAACGCCACGGAACACCACAACAGAGGGAGGTAGTTCGTCCGACATCATTGAGGAGGTTCAATATATACTGAGGGCACAATACCGGATGCAAACGAATTCGTCTACATTGCATGCGACTGTCCTCTTCTTGCCACACCGACCAAGCCTCCTCTAAAGCCAAAACAAGGCCTGCGTGACTAAATATGGATGCGTAGGCGCAGTAGCTAAATCTGCCTACACGCGCTCCACACACGAGGTAGGTAACACGAGCATACGAAATAAACGTTGAATGAGAGCTGTCCAGTCGCTCATCACAAAAGGCCATAAGGCCACGCCGAAGAGCAATAACCGTCTAAACCTCGGCCTGAAACAAGGAGAAAATGGAAGGATGATGAGGGGAGCTGGTGAGGAGTCACTTCTTCGCAACCTGGTGCACACAAATAACTTGAAAGCACACCGAATCTATAACTACTAACGTAAACTTTCAATTGACATAAATTAAACGCACGCTTGGCTGCACATTTATCCACCCCTAAGCATACTGGCGGCAAACCCGGTTCAAAGCGGCTAGAGGTTAAATTAGGCGACAAGACTGGCATACAACAAAACTGCCAAAGGCATACCGGATGACTTTGCGACCACTGTTTAGGTCACATGGAACGGCTAAATCCGCCCTGTGGGCCGTATAAAACAAGAAATGATTCACAAATATACGCAGCGTTAGAAAGAGAGAGGGAGAGACCGGTGACTTTAGTCACGTTTTTGAAC